AAAAAAAGGGGCAAAAGGAGAGGGTTAAAAAGAGAGGACGCAAAATGGTCATGTAAAAATGTCACACGCATGCATATACAAATGGCGCTACAAATGGGTATCCAAGGTGAGCACGCAGAAGGCGCAGATAGGAGAGCCCATGGACCTGGCAACCGCCGCGCGCAGTTCGAACACTTGCGCTCCGGAGGGAGACACAAGAATATGGGTACTCCGCATACGCCCGCTCGGGGGGAGGCCAAATTTCCTCGAATGGATTCACACTTGTGGGACCGTCTTTCACAAAAAAATTAATAAAATGGAATGAATGAAAAAATGGAAAAATTGAACAAAGTGGAAGGAGTGGACACACTGCAACATGATAAATGTGATTAAGAAAAATTCCCACTCGGCCTCTGCCCTTTTGGGTTGGCTCAGAAGTCCACGCCCCTCCGCTTGGCCAATATGGACTGCACCCTTTCCCTGGCGGTCTTAAAGGCTGACTTGCTGGCAAAGGGGGCGCCACCATGACTGCTGTTTGCGTTTGCATTTCCATTGCTGCCACTGCTGTTGGCGGTCCACTTTTTTTTCTTCCGCTTCCGTACGTCGTCTTCAATTTCATAAGACAAGTCAAACTTGGCATTGTTGTAGTAGTAATTTTTGTACTTTCTGTTTTGCTCGCCCGTGTAGGCTATGTCGGGGGAAATTATTTTATCTCTGCTCTCCGCCACGATAAGTGTCTCGTCCTTAATAATGTCAAATGGTTTGTTGCTGTTCGCATGGCTGTGGTAACTGGACCCCCCGTTCTTTCCACCATGCTGGTAGTAAAAGTTGGGTGCACCAACATAATCCTTCCCCTTGTTCCTAGCGTAGTACTCACTTGTTTCAATGCGAGCCGTTGGTACAGCGGCACCATCAGGAGGTAACGCATGAGCCACGTAGTTCCCCTCATTGTCCTTATTGCCCAATGCGCGGTTGTATGACGAGCTACCAACATTGTAACTGTGGTTGCTGTAGTTATTTATTTTGTGCGTCTTATGTGTATTCATTCTTTTGCCTCCATTTTTACCGCTCTGATGATATGACCCGTGCACCACAACTCCCTTATGTTGGTTTGCACCACACGCATTGTCCACACCGGGTTTGACCTCAGCGCGAAATTCGCTTCCGTGATTCACACAGGATGACTTGAAATAATTTTTTTCATAAGTAGGTGCAATATTTTCGTTATTGTCCTGTCGTATGGGGGCAGCGCAGGGGAAAGAAGGGATACTACCATTTGGTGTGGTACCTTTATAATCTGCTGTTACGCTGGCGTCACGAGAGATATTCTCCTTCCTCTTCATCAGCCCGTTGTGCATTGAAAATGAGTAAGTTTTTAAATGGTTACTGTCGCTGTTCGTTGGATCGCAAACATGTGCGTTGTCTTCGCTGGGGTACTTAACATCCCCCTCAGCGCTATCATCATTACTCTCCATGCTACTGTTTGCTCCCGCGTTTGGCTCGTGACCTGTTGGGGCTACATCTGCCTCCGCGTTGTTATTAGCTCCGTCGATGTGATCATCCCAGTCGAGTTCATCACCAGTGTTGGGTGCAGCGACGGAAGAAGCTTCCGCATCTATCGCAGCAGTCACAGCTGCTGTTGTATGTGATGCACCTTTGCCACCACCGTCGCTCAAATACCCCAGGGATCCCACTCTAATCCTATTTTTGGAGGCCCCGTTGTCGTAGTAAATGTTCTTGTTAGAACCTTTCATCGGAGCAAAATGCACTCTGTGTTTGTTCTCATAATTTTTATTTCTACCTGACCAGGTCATAATATTTTTTTTACTTTTTTTTTTTGAAGACTTTTTAGCTAGCTGATGATGGTCATTACGCGAAATGATAAAATTGTTTCCACCGCCCATTTTATTGAACTGCAAAATATTGTTTTGTCCATTTTTCCCATGTCCTTTTTTACTGTTACCGCTATAAGTGGCGGAATTATACATGTGATTATTCCCTTTGCTACTTCTATACTCGTTGCTCTCCTCATTATATTTGCAATTGCCATCAATGTGCATCGTCGCAATGGTATTATCGGAGAGGTTTCCATCATTGCTGTTTATTACGTTGGAGTAGTAACTGGAGCTCCACTCTGCACTGTACTTAACATATCTGATATTGCCCTTGGAGCTCTTTTTTCCTTTAGGTTTGTCTCGACTTAGCTTGGCCAAACTGCTGCTTCTTCCCTTCTTCTTGCTTATGTAGTACCTTTCTACGTTCTTGGACTTGACCTTCACATTCGTGTTGTTTCCATTGCCACTCATAATGCCATTGATAATGTCATTGTCAATGCCAGTGCCACTCTTTTTGGAATTCCTGACCATGTCGCTTCTCCCATTGGCATTCCAAACGTGACCACTTCTACCAGTTGCACTCCTCGTTTTACCACTCCTAGCATTTCCCCCCTTGTTTTTATTCTTTTTACCATTCACACCCTGACTGCTAATAAAAATGCGCTTGCCATTCCTCTTTCTCAACCCATACCACATATCACAAGGATTTTCACACATATTAAATTGAACGTTATTCTTCCTATTGACATACACCTTGGTCGATTCATCACTAAAGAGGGAGCTACTGTCGTCCATAGTTTTGTATGTTTCTATCTGATTATAATTTTCTCCGTTGCCGTTACTCGTCCCCTTGGTATCATCATTGTAGTTGTCACTTCGAGGAGCCACTCCCTTCGCGCATCCATTGGCGCACCCGTTTGGGGGAGTTTCCAAGTCCTCTTTTGGGTTCCCTTCTGTGTCGTTTCCTCCCATAATTTCATCCACGCGGGTACCACTTGGGTCTTTGACATGATCTGCACTTTGGGGGAAACCTGAAGGGATGCTGTCGGGGGCGCCAAGGTAGTCCCCCTCCCGCTGACCGCCTGCCTGGCCACCTACTATCTTCCTGCTCACTCTGCCGATTATCTTCCCGCCTGTCTTCCTACCTGCCTTCCTGCCTACCCTTCCACTCCTCTCAGCCCTTTTCTCACGCTTCTCCTCCTCCTTCTTCTGCTCAATCCTTTTCTTCACATAGATGAGGAAGTTCTGGTTGTCATGGTCCCCATCTTCTTCACTGTCGTCACCGAGAATTTTGTTTCTCTTATTCAGATCGTCGAGCAATTCTTTGGTGAGTCTCACTGCCTCCACATGGCCGCTATTGTTGTTATGATTGCTCTCGTGGAGGGCCCGCTTATCACCTTTGCCATAACCACCCTGGTTGTGCGCCTGCTTCGTGGGGTTCACATTCCCAACGTTAAGGGCAAACCCCTGAATAGTGGGCCCAACATTTCCATTGGAGCTTCGCACATGATGCCCCAATTTGTTATTACCATCTGTGTTGATGCCTCCCAGCGATGCACCTATGAGCAAGTTCTCCTTGGACTTGTCTGCACAACCTTTTGCACTCTGTAGAAGAAGGTTACCTTTTTTTTTTAAGTCCCGTTGGGAGTAGTTATTACCAATTTTTTCATTTTCTATAAATTGCCTGTTTTCCTTTTCACCAGCTTTATTCCTTTTATGGTGAAAGAACCCAAGATTCGAATGGTATCCTTTTTTGGACCTCTTTCCACTTACATGCTTGTCATTTTTCCACTCATGTGATTTTAGTTTGTCACTCTTATTTTGCTCTTGCTTTAAATCTTCATAAAAAATGTTAATCGTGTTGCTGTTCGACGTTACGCTTTGGTAGTAACTGGTGTGGTTACTTTCGTTGTTCTCCATTGTCCGTTAGGGTACGTCTAATGGGAGAATCTGTACGTGGGCATATGCGCGGGAAAGAGGCTTTTAATGGATGCAACAGAACATTTTTTTTTTTTTTTCTCGGTGACCACAAGTGATATGATGGTAATAAGTAGCGTGGATACACAGAGTCGAAGGTGTACACTGTTTTTTTCTTTTTCTTCATGCAACGGTGTGAGGGGAGGATGGTTAAGGAAAGGGCACAATGGGTGTGATTCACGTGTTTGACTCGAAAGTATGCCTCTGCGGGGTGATTTTCACTTGGAGTGTACCATTTAATCGATTGTGGTGATGTGATTGGGCAATCGTGCAAAGAAGACGCAGGGAGGAACTTTCTCCTTAGTACAACGGACGGTCTTTCACGTGTATCTTTTTTTTTTTTTTTTTTTTTTATTACCAATTCGGTCTAAGTAACCTCAATGGAAGGATCATCACAACAGCGACGCATATGTAGCTAACAGGAAATAGATGTGCTACTCTGCCTTGCGCATGGTTAGATCCCCGGTTTGTATTTCCCCACCACAGGGTACATAAATTTACTGTAAGAACAGATATACAGGGGAGCAGTGGCTGAAGCTTGAGTCCCCTCGCTGTTGCTATTCTCACAGTGCAACCTTGTGTGATGTTCCGTTTAATTGTGTTTTGGGGCAGTGAGCGATAAGGCAGTTTTGGCGATCCGCTTTGAAGAACCTCTTTTGTGAAAGCCCTTTTTGCCCCTTTGAAATGCCCCTACGTATGTTCTGCACCTCCGTTGCTTCAAAAAAAAGGTAACCCTTCCAACGACGCGCAATTCGATTAGGTACAGGTATAGGTATACGCCTGGTGTGGTCCTACTGAGGTAGTGCTATTCTTGTGCTCGTTTTGGTTAATTGGGCGAGTGACCAAACGGTATAGCAGCTCAGGGCTCAGCACATCCTATACGTTCTTCTGTGAAGAACCTCTGGACACGAATATGCGACTGTGTATATAATGCAATCCCGTTGCCAAAAAAAAAAATGGTCCCCTTTTTCCATACAAGCTAGGGGAACGGAAATGCTTCTTATATATGTCCAAGCACACAAAATAAAGCTCCTGCGCATTTACGGTCAAATCCTTCGAGCTGTTACAAAAGAGTAGCCAAAATATGTTCGCTCTTTTGTTTTTTTTTTTTTCTCCCGCACACTTGTCAATAGTAACTATGGGACATATGTGTATCTGCGGTTGGGGCGCACCTGTCTAGACACAATTGGGACCGTGGTGGGCGAGGGAGCTTGCTTGGTGATTTGGCCACTACGTGCTGGCACCTATATTGGTATGTACATGTTGAGGGGGGGATAACATATAAATATATATATATATTAATATATGAATACACACAGGCGTACACTTTTTAGCAAGTGACAGTACGAACGTAGGGAACGTACAAACATGCTAAGGTACGCCTGTTTTATGAGCAAAGGTGGAAACCCACACTTTGTCTCGTCCCCAACAGATACTCGACAGTACATGCGTTAGCAGATTAACATAAAACAAGCACAAAAAATGGTAGGAGGCTACAGGTAGGATCTAACTTTTTAGCTAGCTGTTCAGACGATCAATTTCTCAGTACACACCTTTTTTTTCCCTTTATCAATTAAAACAAATTGAGACAACAACCTTGTTAAGAAGCATGAACCAAATTTTACTTGGATAACCCACACTACAAAGGGACGCCACGGGAGGCATACATCTATTCATGTACATATGCACACACCACGTGGGGGTGGTGGCATAGCAAAGGGCACCACAGGGGACTGAATTATTCTTTTTTTTTTTTTTTTTTTTTTTTTCCACTTTTCGGCTCTCTTAAATATGTATATATTTAGACAAGATTGTACATATTGTTGTAAGCTTCCAAAATGGTAAAAGGGTGCCTTGCCGTGTGTCTTGCTTGACCCCCAGAAAAAAGTATCAATTCTTTATTTATATTTTTTTTTTTTTTTTTTGGAAAAACACCAATTTTGTCTTTTCGATTTTGTTGAATATTAATTATGGGTGCCCTAAAATAATTACAGCAACTTCGTAACTACGTAATCCGGTTTACAACGCTGATGTACTTCGTTACAATTTGTGCCTTTTATATTAACAATTTGTACGGGGGGATGTGTATTAATTAACAAAGGAGAGAGAGACAACAACACAAAGGTCTTCTTTCTGCCTCCTTTTCAATTTCCCGCTGGCTCCCTTTTTTTGTTCACCTTTTTTTTTTTTTTTTTTTTTTAAAGTTTCCTGTTGCGTCCAGTTGCACTCTTCTATAGCCAACTAATCGGATGGGCAGACTAAATTGGATCCTCTTCCAATGTGACTATATACAAAAGCTTGTGCACGCGTGCGGGAAGACGCGACGTTGATTGTAAGCCCCCTTGGTATGATTATGTGTTATGAGGCGAGCTAACCTCTTCGTGGTATGAATTAATTTGCACATATGATAGGTACATGTACCGTGTGGCATACAGTGCTGACACAAGTGCGGCAGGGTCACACATGAGCTATCTTTGAAACGTGCCTACTTCGATATGGATTTTTAATTTCAATTAAAAACTCGAAGCGTTGTGAGCTCTTTGAAATATATGTTGCGTTACCAGGCCACCGTGACACCAGGGTCCTTTATCAATTGCCTTAACGCGCTTAAGCCAAGTTGGGGTTTGCGGATACGCTGACGCTTGGACGAGCAGACTCAACTGTTGCAAGGAAAACGTGTGTGTTCAAGCAACTGTGGAGGTTGTGCTGCTAACCGTAAGTGCGACAACCAGGCTAACAAATAGACACGCCAATAGGGGCGGAAACAAAAAAAATATATATATAAATAATAAAATAATAAGGATGGCATACAAATGCAAAACTATGTCAGACGTATGGGCCGCAGTCACTACACGGAAATGCAGCACAACACTGACAGTAGGGAGGAAAGTAATGGCGCATTAATTAATTGTACCTTTTGTTGTTTTACTAAATTGTACATTTTATTGCTTTAATTAATTACATGGAAAATATATTTATATTAAAAGGCGTACCGGCACAGGGGTGCGCGTCCGCTGGGAACACAATTGCTACGTAATATGTAAAGGAGATGTCCCACGCTAGTGGCTACAATGATGTTCTTTTTTTTTCTTTTTTAGTATTTTTCGTCTCCCCTTTTTGCATTACGCTTTCGAGTTTATTGCAACTCTATTGCAGCGATGGTTTAAGGGGCTTTTAGGCGTAACAGGAAATGGTAATGGGTGTTGTTTTCTTTTTTTCCTTCCCGATGCGCTTCAGCTTTTTGGGGGCAAGGAACGCGGCACGCACAGGTAAACTTGTGGTTGAAGTTACGCCAGTTGCGCGCGCTTGCTATAGTTGGGAACAAAAAAAAAAAAAAAAATGCGTACAGGCGTACATGTAAATATATAAGTATAAATATAGTGATACGCAGTAAAAGGGGGCAAAGATAAAATTAAAAACAAGATATGGGAAGAAAAAGAAAAATTCACTTTATCCGTTCAATCATGCATTTGTTTTCTGCTTCCCTTTATATATAAATACGTACATACAAATATAATGTGGCATATGAAAAAACAAAACAAAAATGACGAAAAGGTTAAAACTTTCATAAATCTGCTTAAAATGAGTTCGATGCGCAAAAAAGTTGGCACAAATATAAAAAAAAAAAAAAGATAAAAAAAGGGAATTGAAAGGAAAATATATAACAGTAAGTTGAAAAGTAAAAAAAACAAAAAACGCATAAAATTAAAATAAAATAAAAACTACAAATGAAAACTTCATATAAAAACTGCAAAAAAAAAAAACATTTATGTAAATAAAAATACATCATATAATAAAAACGGCTGCGTTGAAATATTGCGTATAATTATTTACCATATTTTGGCAGTACGTTCGCTTTGCAATATTTTTCTGCGCGCGCGGAAAAGTACAAAAAAAATGTTCATCCATTCATTTTAAATTCCTCTCGCAGTATGTAAGAGGTAAACAAACAAAAAAAAAATGTATTGTGCTTTTTTTTTTTTCCCACCTTGCAAACGTGAAAACATGTACATATCATACGTGGCATGACATGTATATATTTACGTGCATATTGCGAATATATACCATGCGCATATGTACTTATAATATTTATAGACTGAATATGCCGCACGCCGAAATTTTTCAAAACGCATCACAGGGCATTTTGCGCCAACACAGATTAAAATCCACTGCCCACTCCGCATAAACGGCAAATGCATTTGGCAAAAACGCTTTTAATTTTTTTTTTTTGTACGTAAACAGTTAGCTGCGGGGGTGCTGTGATTGACAAGAACGAACTCAAGTGTACACGGAATTAGCGCCTCCCCTAGCTAGTTACATATATATGGCATGTATATGCTTTATGTATGTAGGCTGGTTATGCATTTAGAGGGCTTTATAATATGCCTGTCTGCATGTATATGCTTATTATATAATATGCTATATTATATGTAGGCATTTTTACCACGCTACTTGAACAAGCTTGGTAGCTCCATCAGGCTGCAGTCAACACCACGTGGTGAAATAGAAGGAATGGATATAGGATTCAACAAGGAAAAAAAAAAAAAAAACACATATATGATGTGATGCAGTGTTCATTTGTATGCATATGAAGAAGGTACCCTTAAGGGCATGCAGACAGTATGCCAGTTTTTTCTTATAAAGGTTGTACTTTTGGCATACAGTTCACAGTTTTTCCTATTCCTTTCTGCGAAATCGGCGTGATTAATCACCCAGGACCGATGTCCTTCCCCGTTTTGTCCGTTCTAAGGGGACTACTCCACATGAGGAAGCCCTCTGCGCGCAAAGCAGTGGACGCCAAGTATGGCATAAATGTTGTATGTACATATCGAAGGGGTAACCTTCCAACGCAGAACATTCCAACGAAAGGAGTAAAATAATTTGTGCGGCTCTTGTCAAAATCGCCAATCAGAGCGGTAACACAGAACGCGTTCATATGTGAAAATTGACATGCAACTTGTTAAATACGTTTAAATGCAACCACTTTACGTGCAAAGCGGCCATTATAGTTGCTTCCTCTCTGCGTAATTAAAAACGCTTAAGCGAAAATTGCAACCTGTTCTTGTCACAGAAATTAAGCCCCGGCTATCGGCATTTAATTGGCGAACACACGTAAACGATATTTGACCATTGGTTGTCTTTTGCACACAAAAAAAAAAAAAAAAAAAGAGAATTTGACCTGAACGGTCATAATTATTTGTCATACGAGGATGTAAATTAGGGGGAAATTCCTACACCCAGCTGTTTTGTGTGCGTGTTTTTTTTTTTTTTTTTTTTAATCTGCACACAAAATGGCTAGCTGTTTTGCTTTTCCTTTTTTCACTCCCCATGTGTGCATGGCTATAATAGCGGGAAAAAACGCAGCAACAATGCATAACGTTCTGCTATATGTTAAATAACGGGGTAAACAGAAAGGAACGTTGTGTACCTCATATCGTGCCATTTTTGAATATTTGACCCTTGGAAAAAAATACCACTGCTGCGGGGAAGCACAATAGAAGCAGGGTGCACATATATATATTTATATACTCGCATGTAAGAATTCATCATAGTGGCGCAGCTTCTTGATCACTTTTGCACAAAATATGCCAATAGGATAAGCTCGCTGTGCACTCACGCACGCTGCAGCAGTTACAGTTCGTCCCATGCATACATTAAATCCCTTACCCGCATATTAAGTCACCACACCTTCCCGAAATACTAAGCATACAAATCATTTGAAGCGTCCATGTGAGACAACCTAACGCACAGCTTATTTTTGCACTTCATGTAGAGCGGAATGCGCGTCCGAACAAAATTGTGACTCCTTATAAAAGCTTCCACGCCCAGACAGTTCGTTCTCTGAAATAGGAAGTACACGAGTCTGTTCGCGTAAGTGCTGTACTCCTGGGAGGAGAAAGGGTTAAGTATTTTAACGACTGCATATCCGTTCGCTTCGTTAACGAACCCTTTCCATTCGACGCAGGAATGTGTTCCCCTTTTGTTTATTCCCAAGTTGGGGTTCCAGGTGGGCAATTCATTTCGTCCAGCACGGGGTTCCTCTAACTCAATGTCGTCGTCCCCTCTGATTTTATCACCCCAGCTATCTGTGTCAGAACTTTCGAATCGTGAAATGAGCGTCGCGTTGTACGTGCTTCCCGTATGCTTATCTTCGTCTAGAATGTCCGTATCGCTCGGTATGAACTTACACAAATGGTAGAGGGTCTGGTCTAGCACATCGTCGGTAGGGAAGAAATAGTGCACTCGGTTCGTTAACTCTTCGTTCTCTGCAGGAGGGTAGGCGTGGCAATGTTGCGGGCAAAATTGAATGTGTTATACCGCGTTACGAATGCCAACCGGTTGAGCTGTATGTCTCTGCGTCTGTGCAAGCCGTCTTAGCCACCCTCGCATGCTACCAATCACAGCACGAGTCATACAAGTGGTATCAAAAAGAGTAGCGGTCAAATGTTTAAATGAATGAATACACGAATATGGCTCACGAGGTGTTCAGGTGGATAAAGGATAAGTAAGAAAATAAAAGGTTGGGAGAAAAATTCTTCACCAAGTGCATGTCGACGCAAAATTGCTGCAAAACGATCTGCATAACAAGGAATGCTGAACTGTGTGCTGTGGCAAAATGGAATTCTTTTTTTCTTAATTTGCATGCTGCACAACATACTTCTTATGTTTTTCTTCAAAGAATACTGTAGAGACTCAATCTGCTTTTTGCTCCTCTTGAGGGAGACCCCACCACCCATTGGTAAAATGGCCTCCCTTTCCATTTACCGCACTGAGGGAAAAAAGAAACCTTTTGGTAACACGAACAAAATGGGGACTTCACCATATGACGCTTTAAATTTTGCATAATTATTCACGCAAAAAAGAGAGGCCATTTTTAATGAGGAAAAAATAATGACCCACTTGATCAACTGAATTGTCTACTCCTTTGCCATTTTTTTTTTTTTTTTTTGAAGTTATATGTGTGAAGTCAACACCTGGGGTGTTGTCACAGAGAGTTTGGCATATGGCGGAACAGAAAGGAACATGAGCATGGAGTGGTAAAATGAGTCTCAGGGAAAAACCACATTTTACCATTTTTTTTTTTTTATTTGCGTACCAAATGGACTTTCCTGCAATTTGGTACATGATGTAAATGAAACTTTCACCAAGTTGGCTCATAACATGATGCGCTTTTTTTGTCGGGCCCTTTCACGAAAGGGGTAACCTTTTTGTCACAGCAGTGGTGTTAGCAAGCGGCAGGGGAACACTGTGGGATGGTTATTTGACGCGAAGGGGTACGTCAGGAGCAGGATGCCTGGGTGGCAAGTGGCCTTTTATAGGGCCTAATCTGATGGTTTTTTCCCAGTGACATACATTTTATTTCACCCCCAACCGCTGAATTGTTAAATGGTATGTCTTTATTCCTTTCCGTTTTTCAGTCCGTTACACCTTTTTGCGCACATAATAGGGTGTACACTTGTGACATAAACGTGTAGGGAGTTCCCGCATGGGCGTCATTTTTACCGAGACGAGCATAGCGCTGTGTGTCACCCATTTGATTTCCATTGTGTGAAGCCCCCATGGAAAGGAAGAAGGTGCGCCTTTAGGATGGTGAGGTGATCATATAGCCGAGGCATTCATGTAAAGTCCTTTTTTGGTAGCCTCCTCAGATGGCAAGTCGATGGCAGTGTTCACCAAGGGTCACACATTGGGATAATGCTACACTATAAAATTGCTACGTTTTTTTTTTTTTTTTTTTTCTCATCCTCTTTCTCCAACCTTATGCCTAAAGCGGCTACTCCTTCCTGTTGGTGCGTCAGAATTTCGATCCACACTTCAGCAGCACATAAGGTTTAAGAAATATATTTGTGAAGATCTGCGGGATTGGCTTTTTCTCGCCGTGCCCCTGGTTCCGTTGTCACGAATTGCTGGAAGTGCAAAACAATTTATTCTTTTTCCCTTTCTTAAAAAAATTGGTATTCAATCGACACTTTTAATTATGTAAGAAAAAAAAAAAAGGGGGGTGGTGGGAAAAAAAAAAAAAAAAACACACTTACATTGCCCCACTTTGTGCGTAAGTGCCTTCCTTCTTTTTTTGTTTCCTTATTTTATTTTATATTTGTTGCGTACACGTTTTGTAACGCATTTGCTTAAATTTTTGTTTCCTTAATATACTTCACCTGTTGCCTCATCTGCAGCTTCCCTCTTGCCCTTTTTTTGGGAGAACGTTATTGCGTGGATTGTATAGTGCGGGCTGCTTCACGTGAAGTCTCATTTGTAGTGGTCCCCCCGGATGACATACTCCCCCCCATTGTAGGGAAGCAGCATATTGTACTTGCTTACCTGTGTTATATACTCTGCGTGCGAGTGAGCTTGCGGAGGGGTTGAGTGGTACACAGGAAAGGAAACGCCACATCTTTTGGGGTGCCCATTTTTTTTGGACGTGCATTTTGGCATCCATTTTGGAAGCCCCTCCTCCATTCGGGTGACTTCATTTTTTTTTTTTTTGGCTCCTGTTGAACCCCTCTGAACACGATGGCGACGACGGCGGAGGAAATCAGCGGGCTGCTGAGCGAAAACGAGCATGCGTTGATTGGGGAATTGCAAGGTAAATATGACTTTATAAATTTTAACGACATGAAAAATTACAAAGAGAAAAAGTTCCACCACGAATTGACATTGGAAGTACAAAAATTTATTAACAATAAGAATGTGCAAGTGAAGGACAAGTTTAGACTTTTCTATACGTACCTGTCTCCCCTAATAAGCAAACTAAAGAAGACGATATACGCAGAGTTGCTTTACATCGTGACGGCCAAGTTTGATGCAAATTGGACCATCTGCTACTTGAAGGAATCTGAACAGCACCTGGAAAATGACAAGGACGCCATTATCATATATAGATGTATCCTGATACTGAAATATATTGAATTAGGCGATTTTAAAAGCTGCGAAAATGAAATTGAGAGTACAAAGAATCTGCTGCAAGGGGTAATTGGATTGAATGTAGTAGCACATAAGTTTTATAACTTTGCCATTATGAACTATTATAAAGTGTTAAGTAAATCGGACTTGTTCGTTAAGTATGCCCTGCTGTACTTAGCGTATACTCCCTTGAATGATTTGGACGAGGCAGAGAAAATCGATATAGGTACACATATCTGCATGCACTCGATAATAAGTGAAGACGTGTATAACATAGGGGAAATCATCCAGCTGCCACTCATCAATGTATGTTTAAAAAATAATGAACAGACCAACTGGCTGTATGAACTAATATATGTTTACAATGAAGGTAATATAGAAGTCTTTAACCAAGTGGTACAGACGTACGAGGCGAATATTAAAAATTCGCTTCTCAAAGATTATGAAAAAAATATGCTGAAGAAAATTACCCTGCTAGCCCTCATGGATCTAGCTTTTAAAAAAAAAAAACAAAGGTCAGACATTTCGTTCGAAGAAATTGCACAGCACTGCAAAGTGGATGTGAACGATGTGGAGAAAATGCTCATCACGGCTAAGAGCAAAAATATTATTACGTGTCAAATTGACGAAATTCAAAAGTCAGTTAAAATTACGTGGGTGAAACCACGAGTGCTCAACGATGAAAAAATTTTCTTCATGAAGGAGAGCATAGACAAGTGGATCACACATTCAAAGAACTTGCTCACCTACATGGAGGATCTTTCTGTTGAGCTGTTAATATCGTAGTGTGAGTCGAAGTATCATCAGCTTACTCCCACTGTGTGTGGTACGAAGAGGGGGGGATTTCCCCCTTACATTTTATACCTCCCATAATTACTAATTTTTTTTTTTTTACAACTTTTTGCACACAACGTTTGTGTTTTTTTTAAGCTGTCCCCTTTTTTTAAAAAAAAAAATTGACGCATTGGTGAGTGCGCGACAAGGCAGATACACACGGACTGGATGTGCATTCACACATGTGGTTGCTTCCCCCCCCCTTGCCCCCTTTTTTATACGTAGAAGGCTATCCCCTCTACCTCCACGTGACGAGCACGTCGTCTGTCCGATACCTCTGTTGGATACTTATATTATTAAAGTTGTAGACTTCCTTATTTTTGGTGTTCAAGAATTCAAGGTACCCCGTGTAGGCAATCATGGCACCGTTGTCCACACAGTAGCTGTGGTCCATAAATCCAATTTTTATGTTTTTCTGTTTGGCCATTTTCTTCATCATGTTTTGTAGGAAAACGTTGCAGCCAACTCCCCCCACGATAATGACCTCCTTGCTGTTCGTGAAGGCGATGGCTCGTTCGCTGATTTCAATGAGCATGCTAAATATGTGGTGCTGCAGACTGTAACAGATTTGTATTTTCCTCTTCTCTTCGTCCGTCAGGTTGGCGCCGTTGTGTGGTTTGTCTTGTTTAGGGGCATTGCAAAGATTCCCTCCCTCTTTGTCGCTCCCCGCCGTGCCTTCGTCCGAACTGGAGTCAAAAAAATCGCTCTCCGTCTCGATGGCACCATCTTCCTCTTCCGCGTAGTGGTCGTCCTCCCCGTAGTTCTTCTTCCCGCCGATGTTGCAGATGACATTCTCTTCGTAGTAGGAGCTGCCCTGCACGCCCGCGTGAATGCTCAAGTTGGGTTTCGGAAAGTGTTGTGTGCCATCATTTTCAGCAGCACCATTTGTGTCGCCCTCTCCATCGGCATCTTCCTCACCATTGACGTCATCCGCTTCTGTTTTTTCCCCCTGGTTGTTCTTCCCCTCATTGGCTTCTTCCCCGTCGTGCCGCATCTTCCTCTTGGGAGCGTTTTCATCATCTGGTGGTGTCTTCCCCCCGTCGTCGCTCTTCCCCTTTTTGCCTCGCTTGGTTAAATACTTGGAGAAATATTTACTCACGTAGTAGTCGTACCCGCTGAACGAGATGTCCATCCCTTTTATGGTGTAGGGGAAGAAGAGCAGTTCGGTGTAATCACACGGGTCCTCCCTCATTGGTTTATGGGGCGTCTTGGACCTGTTTGTAGCGTTGTGTGGGTGGGGTGTATTGTCCCTCTGTTCCCCCTCGGGAACATGGCCACCATAAGGGTCTCCATTGGTTTGTTCTGTCCCCGTAGTTGACCCAACCATTGATGCATTTTTTTTTTTTTTTTTTTTTTTTTCTCCAAATTTAGCAGATATTTTTTCCTAGCCAAGATTTCCACATTATACCCAGGAGAAGGAGAATTTGAAATTCTGAGAATCCTGGCGGACCTGTCGATGACATTTCCAATGGCTATGTCTAAAGTCTCTCCAATAATTTCGTACGTCTTCTTGTGATCGTTGAAGTAAATGATCTGTGTGTTACTTCCACTAACGTATAAAATGATGGGGTGATAAAGCTTGGTTATGAAAATACCCATTTCGATGTGAGCAATGCAGTGGTTGACTCCTATCACTGGAATGTTGAATAGGAGGGAGAAAAATTTGCTTATGTTGTAGGCAATGTACAGGGCGGAGCCTATTCCTGGCCCTTTTGTATAGCATATTAAATGTATGTCCGTTATCTTTATCTTCAATTTGTTGAGACAGTCTTTAATCATGTCGATGATGTAGTACTTGTGGTGTGCATTAATTTGCCTCGGGATAAATCCGCAGCCAATTTCAGAGACATATGTTCTTCTCATGTTCATCAGAATTTGAAAATCGCTATTTATAATGCTGACCCCCAGTTTGTTTGCACTCCCTTCTAGCCCCAGGATGTACTTGGGTTGTTTCGGCAGGGTGCTAGCACCCCCCACGGTGGAATCATTCACCATTTCACAAAAAAGGGGGAAGTAGTCTCAAACAAGGAAGTGAAAACGGCGGGATGATATAGCCGATTCTCTATTCGGAATTTCACCCCTAGGAGAAATTAACAATTCCCTTTTGCTCCCTTAAAAAAAAGGATATGAGGGCACACTTTTGGTGTATCGAAATGGAGAAAAGCACCGCGCCTCCTCCTTTTAGGTCATAGAGAGAGGGAGAGGTGTGAAACGGGCGGTGTGCCTAGCAACCGTTTTGATTCCCTTAAAAAAAGAAAAACATTCTCTGCGGATGAACCGCTGTTGCGTTGGTGCCCAGCGGAGGGACTCCAAAGAGAAAAGTCCATTTACTCGGGAAAAACTCCCCACCAGCTTCGGTGAGTGAAAAGAAGAAAATTTATAACTGTTCCACCGATGTGCATGGAAGGGGATAAAATCACTCGGCGAAGATGTCGCCCCCTTTTTTTTTTTTTTTTTTGCGCTCCCACATGGAACCAACATGTGTACAATGCACATGAATATAAATATGACAATACGAGCATGTCAAAATGTGGAAAATGTATGTGAAATATATTTATGTATAATTTTTATTTAAGTGGGCACCCATGCCAATCTGCTAATTTTTTTTTTTTTTTTCTACTCTTAAAGGAGGCCCCCCCTATCCACCAAAAACCCCACACATGATGGAAAATTAGCTGTTTTTATTATTCCTCTCCTTTTTGTTCTTGCTAGCCTATAATGCCCATGCGATAAATAATTGCATGGCCAAGTTGAAGAAACGTAAATGTGACGCTGCTGCCCCCAACAAAATTTTCTTTAAACGTTTTGCCAGAAACGCCATGTTACGAATGGGATTGGGAGTTTGTAACAGCCGTGTGGTGAAAAGAGAGTCCGCCATTGTAGTAGCCGTCCACTGTTTTTACAAAGGGTAGGACTAGAACGGGAACCCCCTTCGGCAGAACGAAATGGCTACCTCAACTGGGGAAGCCACCGTAAGCGGGGAAGACCCCGCGGGATGCCCCCAAATGTACGTGGCCATTTACAACATAGGGAAGAAGAAAAACATCGGCAGCATTGTACGAAGTTGTGTCGCCTTTGGGGTCAGCAAAATTTTCGTCGTGAGTAGAAAAAAAAACGAAGTCTCCTTTTTTGGCCACATGGGTACATATAAATATATAACCGTAGCGTATTTCTCCAGCATGAAGGAGCTGAAGACCCACCTGCTCCAAAATAACATTCTATTGTATGGGTGCGAAATAACAGACAGTGCTATACCTGTGACGAGACATCCTTTTGTAAATAAAGATACGGCCTTTTTATTTGGAAATGAAGGAACCGGAATTAATGATGAAACACTAAGCTATTGTGATAAAATCATTTACATCCCTCAGTATGGCAATGGCACATGTTCTCTGAACGTGTCCGTTTCGTGTGCTATAATTTTGCATCACTTTGCTGTGTGGGCAAATTATCCCGAGGTGGGGATTTCGGGAAAAAAATTTGTCCTCAATAAATGTGTAAGTAAATTGGAGCAATATTTGAACCCTTCGGATGACTTGCTTCGAAAGATTAATGAGAAACGGAAAGAGCGGGCAGCAGCCAAGGAGGCTTCCCCCGATTTAGCGGATCTCCATTTGGCCTACCCCTCCGTTGACCGCTTCCCTGGTTGAGCAGCAGGGCAAGGGTGACACACGAATGGACACCTGCTGATACTCCTCGCAGATGGACCAACGTCCCAGTTCACTTCCCTTCCGAGAGGAAAAAAAAAAAAAAAAAAAAAATTTACTGCACTACAGCACATTCTGTTTGGTCAACTTAACTGTACCGAGGCGCACGTTGGAGGATTTTCTTTTTTTTTTCTGCATTTTTAACAAGTGTGATATGTGTGCTTACTCGTTCATCACTATTTTGGGTCTCCTTCGCTTCCGCCCGGAAGGTTGACATTCTTTGGCTAGTTGGAGCAGGTGGTGAAGTTTTGCACGTGAGCGCACTTTAAGAAGTTACATACACGTGTATGCACCAACATGTACACTTACGTACATTACGAGGTACCCCCTTGTACAATCCTGCTTTTGTTACCCACCCACCCCTGCTGAAGGGCGACCCACATGTGAGGAGAAAGGCAAAATGCAAGGCACAATATCTCAGGAAAAACTCCAATTGATGCAAAAAAATTTTAACCTTGTGGATAACAACAAGGATGGGAAAATTACCCCGCAGGAATTTAAGACGCTCTTGCGATTGCTCGGGCAAACCAGAACGGAGAAGGACATGGACGAGATCGTGGAAAAACATTTTGAAGACGCAACAGGGGAGGAACAGCAGCAGCCAGAAGCGGCCGAGGCCACCGATAAGGGAGAGGCAGACAAAGGGACGCCAAGTGTAGCGAAACAACCGAGCGGCCAGAAAAACACAGCAAAAGCTACCCCAAGCCACGATCGAATAAAAAACCTAATCGCAAAGCTTAACCATTTCAAAGATGAAGACAAAAAAAAAAATAACCCAAATGCTCAAAATAAAGGAATATGTGATGTATATGCACAGAACGAATTAATGAATACAAAAAAAAAACCCATAAACTTTGAAACCTTCTTGAGGATATTTCTTGAGGTTTATGAAGAACCCTTATCGGTAGACGAGCTAATCACCTCGTTTGAATTTTTCGACAAAGAAAAAAGTGGCTATCTTGATGAGGAGAAGATGAGATTTATTTTGAAGAACAGCGATGAAAGGTTGGTGGAGGAGGACATGAAATTGTTTTTCAAATCGCTAAACTTGAGGGATAAAGACAAAATTGATTATGTCATGCTGGCCAAGCGCCTCAAGAATGTGACTTAAGAGGGGATGGGGGTTGGTGACCTTGCTGCGGGCCCCATCAGCGCATCAGATTAGCGATTACACTATTCGGGGATACAACTCGTTCACGCCCCCCTGCTCGCTACAGATTTTGGAGGGCACCTTTTTGTGCCCCTGCACATGGAACATGTACATGTGTGCGTTTATATATGTGTTCGCTCGTTTGTTATTATTTTTTTTTTTTTTACGTGTTTGCCTCTTTGCGGCTTTTCAATTCCCTCTCTTATTTCCACGCCTGCCTTAGGGCAGACAGCGTGCCCCCCAGTGTTAGACACACTAATAAGCTAGAAAACTTTTTCATTTTTCCGTACTGTCGTTTTTCTTGCCTTTTCCGCTTTCCCTGCGTTCGTTCTTTTAAGACTCCTCATTCGGTTAAACATTTTTGTTGATGATGGTTTTTGAGGGTGCAAAAAAAAAAAAAAA